TTATGTAAAAAGAAAATTTATTTTTTTAAAATTAAAATTAGTTTTATAAAATTATAATATTTAGAATACAAGATAACGTGGTTATACATGTACCCTACGAGAAACAATACGAAAGGCGAAGAGAAATCACATATCCATATTGTAAGTCGTTGTAAAAACTGTGGTATTTAAAATCTAATATTTTAATTTACGAAAAAGTATTTTTAATATATAATTTAATTAAAAAAATTAATATTTGAAGAAATTTAAGATAGCGTATGCTATACATAAATATCACATGATTTATTTGTTGATTGAAGGTAATGTAAATTGCACATCTATATCGCAGAACATTTTGTTAAAATTTATTAAAAATATTTTCTTCAAGTTGGGAACATGATTTAAGATTTTTAAATATGAAATCAATTTTAAAAATATTTAAAGAGAACAAATTAATATATTTAAATTGAATAATAAAGATAAACGTTTATTTGAGGAAACTTAAAATATATTTCTAATAATTTTGTATTACGTGAGACCAAGATAACGTTGGTATACAAAGATCTCGACAATTTAAAACGTACAAAGGCAGAGATGCTACACAATGACATTATAAATTGTTGCTTTAATAAAATAATTTTGATTTAAATTGATAGATTATTAAATTAATAATTAGAAGGAAATATATCGTGATTTATTATGAAAATAATTATCTAATTAATTAAAGACAATATATGATGAATCAATATCACATAAAGCCCGATAACGTAAGTACACATAGACTTTATCAATTTATGATATTTGACGATAAGGAAGCTATATGTTAATATCATACATTGATATAATTATTTTATTTATATATTTGTTATATTTGTTTATAATTTTCTGAAATGTAATTTACTAATCAAATCATATCAACTTTATATCAAAATAAAACAATATTAAAGATAACAATATCAATACACAAATAAATCATAATAATAATAATATAAAAATAGTAATAATAAGAATAAAATAAAATATTTTTAATATTATCAACATCTTAAAATCTTTAAATAAATATTAAATATGACTAACCAAATAATCTTTTCATTATTAATGTTAGATTAAAAAAAAAGAAAAAAAAATTTAACACATGATATATATATATATATATATATATATATATATATATATATATATATATATATATATACACACACACACGTGATTATAAACAAGACAAAGGCAAATGGAAAGCAAAACATATTATACTACATGTTCACAGGGCAGGATATGCACCAGGAGATATTAAAGGACAGCAAAGTCAAGTGGACAAGACATTTATCACAAGCTTGCAGCAAATCACATACTAAAAGGTACAAAAAGAAAGAAAAATCAAATGGAAAAGGCGCTGACTGTAAGATGAACCTGAGACGCAAACAGCAAAAGTTATTGAAGAAGGATTCGTAATTCTGAAGGTGAGGGACACTGTTTATAATATAAAAGTCTAAAAGAGTCGATAAAACAAATGTCTCCCAAGAGGGTCCTTTCTCACAAGGCACTATATGTTGCTCTTTCTCCTTCGATTATCCTCTTCTTTTTTTTTTTTCGCTTCTCTCGCCGCTCCAGCGTAAGTAACCCTAAAATACTTCCCCCTCCTCTCTCTTTTATATCCCTGAGCTTCCCCTTCTTCCTTGTTCTTCTTTTTCCTTATGCTATTTTCTTCTTAAGACACAACCCCTTCTTTTCTTGCTCAGACACTCCATTCTATTTTTTGTAATTTTGCAATTGATTGGATGCTTGCAGGCAGCGAGGAGCAACTTGCTTGCTCCCTATTTCACAGGACTCCCTTTCTCTTTTTCATTTTGCATTATTTAATTAAAAATAAGAAAGAAAAAAAAGTGTATTCACACACATATATATATATATATATATATATAAAATAGAACCATATAATAAATAATCTAATTTTAAATAAATTATGTATAATAAGATATACTTTTTTTTTACTTACTACGTGTTTTACCTTTATTAGTATAAATTTTTTTATTAAAGTATCTATAAAAAAATTTAGATACCAGGTCAATAGCACATAACCACACACTTAAATATTAAATAATTATTTTATATTATATTAATATTCTAAAAATATATACGATTATATATGTTTAAAAAATAAATTTATTTAATCATAAATTATTACATTTGTTACATTTAAATAAGTTGAAGAAAGTCTATGTCTTGAAACAGAAATAGGACACAATTAAAACTAAACGAATTAAAATTTAAAAATAAATATTAATATTCTATTAATATTTTTTTTATATTTTAATTTTATTATTATTAATATTCAATTATTATATTAATATATTATGTTATAATTCCTTTTATTTATAATAAATAGAAATTGCTTAAATATAAATTATATTTTATTTGAAAGTAAAAATTTATAAAAAAATGATAAGAAAATAAAATTAAAAAATTATTATAATATATATATATATATATATAATAAGACCATATAACAAATAATATAAATAAATTATATAATAATATATATTTTTATAACTTACACATTTTTATTAAATTATTAGTTAATTTATCAATTTATATCTAATATATAAGTATGTGTTTTAATTTACTATATTAGTAATATTTTTTATATTACATTAATGTTATAGTGTTGTTAATTTTATATTTATTTGTTAATTTAAAATAACAAATTGATGAAACAAATAAAATTAAATATTTTGTAATTATTATTTTAATTTAATAATAATTATTATTGTCATTATATATATATTGTATTAAATTTAAATTTATTTTTTTAAAACATAATAATTTTTTAATTCATTCAACAAATTGTTTGAATGTTATTTTTTGTAATCAATTTTATGTGTTCACTATAACTTTATTTGTTAAATATAAGATGTCTTTAAACAAACAAAGTATGTTTCTAAAATAAAAATAAAATCTTTAATATTTAAATAATTTTTAAAAAATAAATCAAAAAATATAAATATAAATTTTAATAATATAAAATATAAATTTTAATAATATAAAATATTTATAATTAATGCTTAAATAATATTTTAAAAATTATTTATAAAATTATATAAATATTATTATAATTATTTAATAATTATTAATAACATAGATAAAAATTAGAAAAATATATAAACTAATTTGATAATAAAATATTTATATTTTTATTAATATAAATTTTTTTTAACAGGCTTCATGCTAGGTCAGGCCACTTAAATAGGCTAGGTCAAGCTGAAAATAAAGCTTTTAATAGGTAATAGGTCAGACGCATGTCTAATAATTATGTTACAGGGCTATATCTATTTAGAGTAAAGTTTGACTTATTTCTATTTCCATTTGCCAATAGAACATTTTTTACGGTTTCACCATAAAACATGTTTCTTTAGACAAAGAATAAAATAAAATAAAAAATATCTCAAATTTGACTTCATTGTTGTTTTAACTACTTTTCTTTTTTTGCTAGTTACATTAATTTTTTTAAAAATAAATTTAAAATTTTTTTTCAATATATTTTAAAAATTAAACTCTAAAAGTTGTTAAAAATCATACCATTTTCAAAAATTAAATTTCAGAAGTGATTTGAAGAACTTCTAAAATTTAATTTTGGAAGAGGATAAAGTTATTTTAAAACTTAAATTTTAAAATCAATTTTTAAAAAAAATTCTAAAATACAATTTTTACAATATATTAGATATGCTATAAAAACTTAAAGTCCGAAGACAACAAAAAATTAGAATAATATGAATGGCAAAGAAAAAAGGACAGTGTAAATAATATTAAAAAATTGACAAATTTGGTGGATAAAATTTAGTTTGTATTTAAAATCAAATCAAACAAGTTGTCGTATTCGACTAACAAAAACAAAAAGCAATTTGTAAAGTTTCGATACAACTTACAATAATAATTTCTGTTGGCTCGTATATTATAATTTTTTTTAAAGTCAATAATATTTTAAAAAATTATTCTTTTCATTAAGTCAAAATACTTTTTATAGAGTATTTAATTTTTATTTTATTTGTTTTAAGTATTATTATTTAAATTTAATATCAACTAAAATTTTAAATATTAAATCTTGATATACTATATCAAATTAAAGATATATTTCTTTATGTAGCTGAATTTTAAAATTATAGAATACAATATTATCAAATCTTGACATATTATATTATATAAATAATGATTATTTGTCTTGATATAAGTAGTTTATAATTTTTTTGAAATTTAAATATCTTATATTTTTATTTAATAAAATAGAATATTTATTATTATTAATAAAATTATGTAATTTTTCTTAACTTATAAATTTGACTTATATTTAAATGTCTATATTATTATTAAAATCGAATTAAATTGCACAAATTTTTTTTTTGCTAGTTTTGCATTAAAGGACAAAATCATTTCAAAAAAGTTTTCCAGTAGTTCTTACATAGCTTTTCCTGGAATGTTGTAGGAGCAGTTGGTGTGACATAACCTCGTCACTTTTTAATATATTTTTAATTATTAATTAAAATTTATTAAAATTATAAAAGCATAAGAAATTCATTAAATTAAAAGTAAGACCTATAATTTTTTTTTGTTTTCAATGAATTTTATAAAATATGTATTTTAAAAAGTGTGTTAAAAAAATACTGTAAACATATTTTACTTTTTTTCATTACTGGGCATACGCATTAAACAGGCTGAGCGGTAATTACCATCCACACAAAGGCAGTGGGTCAAAATCCAGGGTCATTTTCGTAATTACATCATAAAGAGCTAAAAATCAGGATATGTCTTGTCTTTACGATTTCATTAATTCCATCAGAAAGTGGCAGAGAATGAGTCTCTACCACTTTTTGGTAAGGCATAACGTTATGAGAAAGACACTTGAAAGGTAATGTATGCCTATATTGTATTGTTTAGATTATTAAATTTTTATTTTTTATAGTGATGTTAACACGTTAATAATTTGTGAGAACGTGTGAAGAATTGTAACTATAAACTGTTCATGTATAAATGATAGTAGTGTAAAGCTGCATATTACTATGATTCGATCTACATAATTCTCATTCTGCTAATTAGAGGCCTTGTTTTCAAAGAAAAGAACCAAAATAGTGTAAACGGCACACTTCCAAGTTTCAGTATTAAACCATTTAACTACCTCTTCATAACTCAACACCTCCCATCTCTCTTGTTCTCACTTTGTTTTCTTCAGAAATTTCTCTCAAATGGGTATCAAAATTTTCATTGTTTCCTTCATGATAACCTCATTCTTTTTCTTTATTCTTTTGATTCCAACAAGATTAACCATACCCAAGTCCAGTTTCAGTGTTCCTATGAACAACTCCTTCAACATTACCAAGATCAACAGGACATACCCAGTTACTTTTGCTTACTTGATCTCTGCTTCCAAAGGTGATTCTGGGAAGCTCAAAAGGTTGATGAAGGCTTTGTATCATCCAGGGAACTACTATTTGATTCATATGGATTATGGGGCTCCAAAGGCTGAGTATAGGGATGTGGTTGAATATGTAGCCAAGGAACCAGTTTTTGGACAGGTTGGGAATGTTTGGGTTGTGGGTAAGCGTAATTTGGTCACTTATAGAGGACCAACCATGCTTTCTACCACTCTGCATGCTATGGCAATGCTTCTGAGGAGTTGCCAATGGGACTGGTTTATTAATCTTAGTGCCTCTGATTATCCCTTGGTTACACAAGATGGTATGGTGAGTGGCCTTTAATGTTTATGGCAATTGGATTGTATCCAATTTGCTCTTGTTTTGTGTAAATCATTATAAATTATACTGTTGTGGACAGCAATTTAAAATTATGAACGAGTTTGTGAAATATTGTAGGCAATGGTGATTTTGTTATTTTGATGATTGATTCAAAAATATGAAAGTTTCCAATTTTCAGATCTGATCCAAGCCTTTTCTGGGGTTCCAAGGGGTATCAATTTCATTCACCATAGTAGTCAGTTGGGTTGGAAACTGTAAGTAGTATTGTTTGATTACAAGATATTTTTTTTATCTTACACCCAAAATTTAAACCATTTTGCACATATTTTCAGGAATAAGAGAGGGAGGCCAATAATTATAGACCCAGGGCTTTATAGCCTCAAAAAATCACAAATTTGGGGGGTCACCAGGCAGAGGAGTCTCCCAACAGCTTTTAAACTCTATACAGGTGTTTTTTCCTCCACTTCAAAGTTCAAATCTTTAGATTATTCAGGACAATGCTGTTTTTATGTGCATATATGCTTCCAATTACTCCACTCCACACATTCATAATTTACCTTTCTTTCAAAGTATTTTTAAGGACAAGATGACATAACTGAAGCATGTGATACCCTGAAATCTGAGTAGAGTACTCGTTTTCCAATAGTGCATCCATCAAGGTCATAATTTATTCTGGTCGGTTGGATAGTATTTTATATTAGGAATTTTGATAACTTGTCTAATATAAGGTTAGTGTTAGTTATCGAAATGAAATCTTAATTTTAGTTAATTCCTTTTGTACTTACTTGTGAAAATTACCATACTAACTATAGAAGATTATAATTTAGCAGAGTATAAAATTTATACCATTCAAGAGAAAAATTAGAACAGCCAAAAAATAAAGATTTTATAGGATCAGAATCACTCATCAATCCATTGTTGCGTGATGTAATAGAATTTAGAGATTAAGGGTTCCATCATGAATGCTCTGGATTCAGCAACTTTTGGCAAAGCGTCCATTTTTTTGGTTAGAGGTCATTAGTCATGGAAGGTAACTTTAAATGGTTGGTGCTAGCAGGAGACAATAATAACATGCATAATTTGCTTCTAAGAACTATAGCTAATGTTGGAACCCCACAACCTCCTTGTACCTACTAATAAACACGAACACTAGTTATCTCCATTATGATTATTACATGGATGTGTAAAATTTAAGTGAACCAAATATGAAAATTTTGTACCTGAATAGTTCAATGGTAGCAAATTAAATAAAAAAAAAGTGCTTCTTTTTTCTTTTCTTCTTTTATGTTGTTGTGTAGAACATAAACCTCTTGTTAGCTCTGCTATAATTTGGAAATTCCAAATGTTAATTCCTGAAGACACAGCAAAGGACATGGTGATGCTTTATGGTTGCACATGGCATATTTTAATGCTTATGTATCTGAACGATTCACATGCACGTGCTTTCTGCTCGTAGAGGGTGTTATCAGTATTTACTTCCTAGGCAGTGCATGGCTTCATTAATTACATCTCTCTCTCTCTCTCCGTCACTCTATCTTTTGTGAAAGAGCTTGTTTGTTCCATTAACATTAGTTTCACGCATATATAGAAATAAATGAATGGTTTGTAATGTGAAGTTAATTTGGCATATTACTTTAGTTTGTTACAAGCTTATACACATTATCTGTTCACAGAAAATTGTAACACTTTTTTTTAAAAGGATAGGATTGTTTTTCTTATAGTTTTTACAATGTGTATTTAACAACTCATAACAATAAAACTTATATATAGTTTTTAAAATACAAAGTATTATAGAATACAATATATTAATCTTTAAAGATTATAAATTTTAATAAAAACATTTAATTATTAACTTTGTATTGTGTATCACACGGTTAAAAAAATCATTTTTCTTTTGTGTATGTTGTTGATTTGTAACTTTTTCAGCACCACGTGGTTTCTCATCCTAAAATATCGATCATGTAATCTCTTGTCAGTAAGTATTATTAGAGAAGTGGAGTGCAAAATTGCATCTTGTGGGCTATCGTCACAGCTATGAGCAAATTATGACATATTCGATTGCCATTGTAAGAAAACATAAAGGTGCCTTAAAAGAGGTTAATGATTGGCTCCATTCATGAACTGAAAAGTAATTATTAATAGGTGAGCATTCGATAAGATGTTTAAACAACCGTTTTAAATTCCATTTTAATCATCATAAACAAAAGTACTACAATAATATTTCTGTTGCTGAGAAAAAAGGAAAATAAAATAAAAATTATGTAAAGACTTTCTCATGTAGCTACACCATTGAGCATGAGAGAGAAAAAAGGGATAATTGAGTCTCATTTATTCCATGTCTCTCTTTACTCTCTTAATGGTGTAGCCAGCTAAAAGGATTTCAAGTCCCAGGAGTACTTTGATCGAATTTATTTGCCTTGCATTCTGCTTAATTTCCACCATTTTACAACTTCAATCATCAGAATATGCAATATTATTGTAATATTGTATCACCCTTAAACATTTCAAAGCTGTGAATTATTATATTGTGGGTTAGACTTCAGATCATGCATGCATATATATATATATATAGTCTATCTTGGTATCATTTTGAACAAGTCAATTAACTTGATCTTATTATGAATACCTCCCAAATTCAGGTTCAGCATGGACAGTACTGTCAAGATCTTTTTCTGAGTATTGCATTATTGGGTGGGAAAATTTGCCAAGGACCCTCCTCCTCTACTACACAAACTTTGTGTCATCCCCAGAAGGATACTTCCAAACGGTTATTTGCAACTCTAAGGATTACAAGAATACCACAGCCAATAATGATCTACACTACATTACTTGGGATAATCCTCCAAAACAACATCCAAGGACACTAGGAATCAAGGATTATAGGAAAATGGTTTTGAGCAACCGTCCATTTGCCAGAAAATTCAAGAAAAATGATCCTGTTCTAGATAAAATTGATAGAGAGCTTTTGAAGAGGCATCGTGGGCAATTTTCTTTTGGGGGATGGTGCTTAGAGGGTGAAAGGGGCAGAGCATGCCCAACTTTGAAAACTGAGAATTATGGTGTTCTGAAACCTGGCCCAGCCTCAAAAAAGTTGAAAACTCTACTCTCATATATTCTCTCTCGTAAAGTTTTTCGCAAATTGCAATGCCGGTAACTTTTATGTCATTTTCCATAGTTTATCACTTGTAAAAATGTCATGATATATACAATGGATAATTTTTGTGAATTTATGATATATTTATCTAATTGGGCAAATTTATTTGGCATTTAACAGATATCCACGTGATCCACCAGTGAGATTAAACTTTTTAAGAAAAAAATTGTCCATCGTGATGACAAAAAGTTGTGCTTTCCAAGTTATGTGGTAATCTGAAGCCATGCGTTGTCGTAAGTGATTGATAAATGGGTTCTAAAATTTGACACTGGTTTATGCTAGTTGAAAGTACGAGTGTTAATGGGCTCAACTATTCATATATTATTTAAGCTTCACTCGTTTAATGATCGGCTGTGAGTAAAGGTGCAAATAAGTTGACCTCTTCATAAATTATTTGAGCTTAACTCGTTAAATGTTCAGTTAATTTAACTCACGTAAATAAACTTACTTAAATAATTAAAATTATATTTATTTGAAATTTATAATTAAAATTAATTTTAAATTTAAGTCATTTTTATATAGATAAAATTATATTTTATTATTATTTTATTTATTTTTAATATGAAAATATTTATTAAGTACTAAATTGAAAAATTATTCAAAATTTTAAAAAAATTGTAAACAAACTAATGAATCAAGCTGAAATTTAAAAATAGCTAATCAAACAAAGTTAAAATTTTAAATTGATTTATTTAAATAAATGAGTTAAATTTGAGCATATATTTTCTACAAGTCAAACTTGATCTTTAGATAATCGACTCGGTTCAACTTATTTATACTCTACTAACGTGTCATTGGCATCTATTTGACAAAATGATCAAATTCACAAAAACACATAAGTGACATTTAAAATTTAGCTTGCATTGCTCTTAGAAACCACACTATACCGACAGAAAAACATGTGGATTACCGGTTTGCCTTGTCATTTACAACAAAATCGGTGAAGAATGCCACAATTCATTGACAAGCTATGATAATGAGACATGTATACTCGAAGTTAAGGCAGAATCATGGGGATTGGAAACCAAAATGGGTTGAAAACAATGATTTGCAAGCACATTTACAAGCATTTGAGAGAGAGAAGAACCATATGTGACACATTGACATGCAGGAAGAGGAATGATGAAAGAGATAAGAGAGAATGAATTAAAGAAACAGCTGAATGTAAATTGCATTAAATTAATAAAAGGACCGTAGTCTCTCTTCACACATAGTGTTTGAGGTGTTCTAATACTAATCCTAAGAAACTCCCATTCATATCTTACAAATGTAAACCACCCATTAAAGAGTAAATTAATATCTACCTCATGTTAGGGTTTTGTTGCAGGAACCGTCAAAATATAAATGCCAAGGCCCCATGCCAACAAAATTCATTTCTCTTTTTGTCATTAGGACTCATATATATCATGTTAGGACTTATTTATATATAATATTAGTATTTAATTAATGTAAAGTTATAATTTATTGTTATTATTATTATTTATTTATTTTTTATTCTAAATGCAAGATAAATGAAATTGTTATTATTGTTTATTGAAATAAAGATGTTATTTTTAAAGAAAACCAAACAAATGATTAGAATACAACGTGAGATTACTTTAGATATGTTAAAAAGATAGATTCACACAAAACTTAAACTATCTAATAATCACACTATTTTGAGATTGATTTTACAATTTGTTGTTGATGCATGTAGTGGACAATACATAATTTTAGATATACGTGATGACAACACATTCATTACATGATAAATATATGTTAATAACAAAACCAAAGAAATATAGTTGAGTTACACGTAAATTTTGTCGTTAGTGAAAGTTCTTCTATCATAATACAATCATTAGAAATAATATCTCTATCACATGGTAATGTTAGTGATGGGACGCGTGGACAGTAAAAGTAGATAAATTAGTGGATCAAATTATTTTTATTCATATTTTTTATTTAAAACATATCTTTGCGTCATGAAAATTTAATTTCATGAAATGATTGCAATGAAGGATTCAAAGACAATGACGAGAAGAAGTAAAATTTCATTAGAGAGTTCTCCTAATATTAAGTTGGAGGATGATTTTGATTCATTTTTGAATATACATGATATAAAAGATTTTCTCAATATACATGACTCAAAATCATGGATAAAAGGAGACACATTATATGTTGACTAACTTTTTGTTTCTAAAGAAGATGTTAAAATGACTATAAAACATTACACAATGAGGAGATATCAAAATTTTTTTTGTGGTAAATCAAAATCATAATAGTGGATGTCTTTGGAGAGTGAGAGCCATATTAACTAAAAAATACAAGTGAAAAATTATGAGATAAGGTGGTACACATAATGTATAAATGCTTCAATTTCTTAATATCACCACAAGTTGAATTTTGCTCACACATTATTGGTATGCTATTTTCAAATAAAATGATGTTTAAAGTACGAGACAACAATTAATAACTAATGTTCTCACACAATTCTTATATTACATGTATGTATGATGACACAAGAACTACCTGTGCCAATTTCATTCATTCAAGAAAGGACTAACAATCAATTTTGATATACAATTTCATACAAAAAAACATGGAAGGCGAAACAAAAAACTATTGTAACTCTATTTAGTGACTGCCAACATGTGTGAAGTGTTGGTCAAACTAACTCAGCTTCAAGCTATTTTTGACAAATGTCTCAATAGGTGGTATAATACAAAGCAAATCTTCCACAATTTGTGCTCAATCACCTCTTTTATGTGCAATGATTGGTCTTTCATCAATATCAAAATTAATTTGAATAGTGATGTCTTGAATAGTAATAGTATACTCTTTAGGTGGCATGTGAAATATATGTCTCTAATTTCATATTTTCAATAAAGATGCAATAAGATGTCAATCAATTGAAAATTTGTCCAATTATAAACACCCTCCATGCTAGCAAACATGAATGGACTCTTCTTCACTTTCAAAATTTGGTGATCTCATGTCGTGAAAAAGATAACATCATCTGAATAAAATTATGACAAATGAGAATAAATTCAAAGTTTAAATAAATATAAATTTATAACTACTATCAATTAATATATTAAATAAAACATTAATAATATTATTAGCAGAAACAATTCTTACGTATAAATATTTAACTAATAACAAATTAATATTTCGGTGAAATATTAATCATTAACTATTTTAAATTACGTTACCTAATAATTAACATTTTACCAATTTATCAATTATAAGAATTATTTAAGCTTTGAATCATTAAAATTGTACATTTACTAAAAATTAACATTTAACTAATAAAAGATTATCAATATTTAAAATTATATATTTCAAAAATTATAAACTCTATTTATTAATAATTAAATTAAACATTCATTATTAAAATAAATCATGTCAGTTAAAACTTTTATAAATTCAAAATTACTCATTTAATAAATAAACTAAACAGTTTAATATTATAATAATTAATTTCACTTACCTAAAAAAAAAATTCCATTTTCTTCAAGTTAATTCTTTAAACTTCCTAATCGTTAATAGTATATACTAACTAATAGCTAACATTCAAATAATAAAAAATATGAAATTTATTTAAGCTTTTCAAATTTTTATATTCACTATATTTAAAAGAAACATTAAAAAATAAATTTGAACTACATAAAAATTAACATATAACTAATAACAAATAAAAAAATTACTTGCAAAATTGTAATGATATTTCCTATTAATTAATATTTAAATGAAATTGTAATAAATTAAATAAATTAAAATACTTAATAATTAACATATATAACTAATAACAATAAAATGTTACAAAATCAAGTGAGCCAAATATTTTCTATATTTATTTAATTTATAAACAATTATTATTTAAATTAGTCTAAATTTAACAAGCGTAGTTATAACAATAAATTTAACTTTTAAAAATTATAATTATCATATATAATATATATATATATATATATATTAAGATGTCTCAATTATGTAGGTGATTTTATTTCTCATCTTAACAATACTATTAAGCCTTTACATGATAGGCTTAAGAAGAATCTTTCTTCCTAGACTGATGTTCATATTGATATCGTTATGAAAATCAAAACCAAGGTAAAAGAAATAAAGTGTCTTTATCTTCCTAATCCTCATACTTTCAAAATTGTTGAAATTGATGCCTCTGATATAGGTTATGGTGACATTCTCAAACAAAGAGTCAAATCTCGTGAGTATATCATTGCATATACTTCAAAACATTGTTTCTGTACAATTTTCTTTTAGTTTTAATAAAATTTTGTTTCCATACAATTTTCTCTCTTCTCCCTCTTAGCTGGTTTTGTTCGGATTATCGTCGTCTAACTTTCTTCTCTTCTCCCTCCACTAGATATGTGCTGGTTCTACTGCTGTTCTAGTTTCTAATATTTTAAATTTCTGCAATTCTTATTATTTGTATTTACTGGATTGATATTTAAGATAAATTTTGTTTCAGAAAATTGTTCTAAATCAGCTTTGGAAATAGCATTGACAGTCTTAGAGAGAGACCTAGTTTTTGGTCTGGCATTAGACTCTTCAGAAGTTTGAGGGGTGTCAGCGACATTTGTAACATGCTAGTAATTTTACTAAGTAGTTCGTTCTGGTTTTCTTCTAAGACTTTCAATTTTTCTTTTTGCCTAAGCTCTAAGATTTTCTGTTTAGCTTTGGCACTAATATTAAAAGGTTTGAAAAGAGGTTTCTCAAGAGGAGTAGAAGAGGATGCTTCTTCTTTTGGATTGCTAGCAAGGGTCTTATCTCTGCTAATCTTATCTCCTAAGACCTGAAGATACTTATTGGTAATTAGCTTGTTCCATGAGGCCTTGAATATCAGTGGAAGTGATAGATTCATGTTCTTGGTCTTGAATGACATTGCCATTATAAGATTGCCACTATTGTCTTTTAATTTAGGTAATTGGAATTGGGTTGAAGGAGGTAGATTACTTTGAACAATTTGTCCATCTTTGATCTGCCAAGAAATGACATTCGTAGAAAGGTGCTAATAATATTTTCATGCCAAGGATAATCTAAATTGTTTTGAATGGTATAAACATGAAACCAACCAAAGAAAGGAATATTT